GAATTTACGAACGCCACCGACCATTTGCATTCCGCCGGTCCGCTAATGGGATTTATGCGAACGGTTTTGTATACTTTGCCCGTGTGATTGGCAGATACGCCGCGCGCGGCTGCGGAATCCATTTGCCGCGGATAGTCGGTGACAATTTCCGCGGAAGACCGACCCGGCGACTTAAAAATTCGACGCGTCATCTCGTTGAACCGCGGTATTCGGCTCGAATTCCGTGCGCATTTCGAAAGTTCATTTATGAAACGTCAGCTGCCACGGTGAGGTTCCACGCTTTTCAAAATTGCGATCGAATCGTTCGTGTTTACCAGCAGCGACTTTAAATATTGCAACAATCGAGAGAGCTGAACGGTGTAATCAGAGGATTCTTTGCGTTCAGTGGCCCGGACTGAAATAATTAATCCGCATAGAGTGCTTTTTTGTTGCTCGGCGAAGGCATGGTTGTTTCAGAAGAAGCGCACCGGATTAGAAAAGGTCGAGTCGCCGTAGTTGAACAGTGACGTTTCGAGTGGACAATTTTGTCAGACGATGGGAGGCAGCGTGGGTAATTAAATGCGTTTGTTGACATTTACCGTTGACCGATTTAACGACAAAGCGGCGCAAACGAGGCCTGGGGACGATCAAGTACGATGTAAAGCCGCGCGAAGTCGAGCTAAACCGTGCGAACGGACTGTAACGATTTCAGTTACGCCGATGGGAAGCGTGAAAGGCTCGTTCGGACTGGGAAAATTCGAAACGAGGCTGCCGCCGCGAAAAATATTCTCGCGACAACAACTCGAAAGACTGTTCGAAACGTTCTCTCTCTGCAGTATCGAACCTTTCTGGCCCGTCTGTTTCAGTTTCTTCCACTTCTTTATCCTTCGCTCCTCCCCTAACCTCCCTTCATCTTTGTTTTCCTTCCTTTGTTATTTTATTCCATAAACCCTGTTGTTTTTCGCGGTGAAACGAACAAGCGGCTTCTTTCTCGAAGAAGCTTCTTCATTCTCCGGTGCTGCTGTTAGTTTTCATTGCGAAACATCTCGGTTTCTTACATGAAAACTAACTTAATCCTTCGTTCCATCGTCCGTTTTACTTTAAAATTAAGAGATGCTCGAAAGTTGATTCTTCTCTATGTCTTCTCCTCTTAATAATCGGTAATTTAGTTTTCTGATGGCCAGCGCTCTGAAGAAGCTAATAAAAGGAAGGGCTCTCGCGATTCCCGTGGCCCTGTCCCTTGTCCATAAGTAAACGGTTTTCCATCGCAAAGGGCCGGGAAACGAACGTATTTGAAAGTCAGTGCCCCGCCCACTGTGTTAGACTTCTGTTCGAGGCGCGCGCGGCCGCGCCGAACTTCTGATCGGTACATCGACGATTCAATTCCGCAGAGATTTATGACGGCGACAGCCGTGTCCTTTTTCCGACGTTGGTTTTTCCATCGTCCGAGAGCTCTCACGATCGGCTGGAATTCTCGCAAATTGCCAAAGGGGTCGGAAGAGATCGATGGCTCCCGACTTTCTCGAAAGAGCAACTGTGTCTCCATAAAAACCGATCCGAAACACCGAATTGATTTTTCTGTTTGGGACGCTGCCGCTTTGGCCACTCATAATTACTAACGCTAGAACTGTCGCGTAGTCGAGTTGATCTTTCCTTTGCACGGAAGAACTTTAAGAACGCGTTATAATTGTAAAAATTGTACGGATTAGGTAAAATTGCGCCTCGCGAGACCAAGGGTTCATCGGCGTGGACGTGTGTTCTCCGCGATGACAAATGGATCTCCATTTGCAGGAGCGCGTCACGTGTCCATCGGGTAGCCGAATACAAGAAATCCATTTTTCTCCCCGTCACTTTGCCCCGGCCATGTCGCGGATCAATCTGATTTTGCTCGATCGGCCGTCGGTTGTCGTTGCGCGTTTTTCTTCTCTTCGCTTTGGGGATTGACCAAAGATTTCGAGCAGACGCGTCTTAATGTCCCAGTCGACCACGTTCCACTGTCCGCGGTATACAAGAAACTTGTGGAATCGTTCCACGGTTTATCGAAGACACCGGATATCAGCGGATTTATAAAATTGCTGGAATTGTACAGTTTGCGGTAGATTAGTACGATTCTATTGCAATTTTTTCGTTCAAACTAGTTGCCGGATCAGAAGGGATCAACGGTAATTGTGGCGAGAATTGTTCCGTCGGCATTAACGGGGCTCGAGATTTAATTGCGCGATTCATTAATCCCCGACGGGATCACGGCGAGGTATCACCGGAGGTCCCGCACATTCCGAACGTTGCGCGTTTCTACGAGAGGTTGCGCCCGGGTGTCTCGAGGGCGCAGTTATTTCGCCGAGCGTTTCTCGTTCAGCACGTACACCGGCTGGCTGCGTTCCGAGCCGATTGCAGCTCGCGAAAGTGATGAAAAATTACGCGAAAATGCATTCGGAACCGTAGCGAAGATTATGTTCCAGCTGTACTCTTACCGATCGACAGCCACGGCAACGAACTCGAAAGTTTAAACGACCGACGGTACACGTGAACCGCGACGAACGATTACGACGGACGTTTCAACGAACGAAATTTTGATCCGATCGCAACGCGACGATAAATTAATACGCCAAAGTTTTCTCGAGTGGCCACAGTTTAATTGTAACGTACGCCGTGTTCTAAAAAGTAGAAAAGGTGGAAAGATACGCGGAATACCGACAGCAGAGCCACGTAGAACTCTCGAAATGGCCGGCAGGCTTTCCCGGCCCAGTGAAATATGATTTCGAATCATTCGAATAATTGAAACGTATGACGTATTCGTTTTCCCGGGAGGAGAACGGGCCCCGGATAATCCGCGAAGCCCCGCGCGTCGGTTATCAGATCAGAATTTATTCTTATTGGAGGACGAATGGGCTCCGATATAAACTGGTGCTCTCGGTCCCGGCGTTTCGGATAACGTATGTACGTCATTGTTTAAATCCGAATTGCAGATTCCGCGTCCGGGGGTGGAATCACGTTTGTCTTTGGCCAGTCGTGAATTTATACTGCACGTCCGCGTTATCTGGACTCCGAGTTCCAGCGACGGATGCATTAACGACGTATATAAAACCCGATGGAACAAACGACGAGGAACGGTGACAGTTACCTTTTTCACTGGGCCCGACGCCTCGCCTCTCGCGAGGACCGACGTCCCTTCGGAAAAAAGCCGGCAATAGGTAGAAAAAGGCGGCACGGAGAGGAGGAAAAACGTCGAAACCCTTGGGACGCGCGAGAGCTAACTGAGAATTCACTGGGACCGGAAGTATGAGGACGGACGCGTCCCCGAGACCGGTACGGCACCGGCAGTAGCGGGGCACACTAATTAGGGGGATGAAACGCCTCGGTTTAAACGGGCTAATTTGCGGACACGCCGGTTCGAAGCTCGAATTTTTAGGCGAGAGCTTTTTGTCAAGCCGCGCTCGTTAATGCCGGCTCTGGAATTGGCCGACCGTTCGTCCCTTGGTTTCTCTCTTTCTCTTTCGAACCTCTACGAGCACGGCGAACGGACCGTCAGAAAATTTCCTCGTCTACCGTGTCCCCCTATTTCGTCGCTTATTAGCCGCGCGATGCTCGTTTCTCCGTCTCTCGAGCGGATCCATCGAGTGTAACGAGTAAACCTTTCTGTTCATTTCCGTGAACTCTGTTCGATGGCCTGGTTTCTCGCATTTTCGCGATATGGATTCTTCGGGTTCGACCGTTGATTGAATTTCAAGTATCAAGGAACCTCGGTTAATCGATCGTCCCCAGATTCGTCGGGTAAAACGATTTCCGGGTCTGCGTCGAGAAAGTTGCGCCAAGAACGAACGGCGATTCGCTGTAAATTACAGTTTCACCCGGCGGGATTTGAATAGCTCGCCGCTGAAAAGAAGCAATTAGAGTTATTTCGTTTTAGCGAGCAACAGCCGGACGGGGGAAAGAAGTTGCTTAAAGCGGCAGAGAAAATTAATTAGCTGTTCGTGCCGTCCGCGCCGCGGTAAATAAGAGAGGCCCCCGGCCTCTGTGTTGTATAGGTAAATCAAACGAATTCTCCGTTTCCTCGTGTGTACGAGGGCTTCTTTTCTCCTCCGTTTAAAAAGAGGGGAAAGGAGAAAGAGAGAGCGGCTCCGTAAGCGGCGAATCGTCGAGTGGCTGTCTCGTTTGGCCCGTTTCAATCGACGCTCTCGAGTAAACCGCGAACAAGCGAGAGCGATATTCTCACCGTAAATTTCGAGCACTCGATCAGTCGATCGTCGGGCTCTTAAGAATCTTCCGAGTAGGGAAAATCGAGCATGACAACCAACCTGACGGTCGGTGGGAAATTATCAATTGGCTCGGAAGAATAAGTAGTTGTCCGAATATTTGTTTCCCTTGGTTTCTCCGTTTCCCTCATCCGGGAAATTAATAATGAAATTCCGTCGAAAAGCGGTGCGTTCCGAATTCACTTTTTCGAGGCGAGAGCGGTATTTCCAGGCTCTCCGGAGAATGTTTTTCTTCTTCCGGGAAAGCCGGTCAGCTTTTTCGACGTTATTCCGCATTCCACTATCCGTAATCCTTCGAATCGTGCGTTCAGGTTCCTCTACGAGCCTAGCGAGCGATATCGGCGAACCGATCGTCTAAATCTACGTGTCCATGGACACGCGATGCAATTTTGGAAATATTTTCGAGGGATTGCAACGATGTTTCAAGAGAGCTTTATATATCCTGGAAACGGAACTTCATCTGCGAAAATAAAGGAAATGGAACGAAAAAGCGGCGATGCGAAAGGCAACAAATGCAGAAAGAAATGGTGGATAGCGCGAAACGAGGTTCCTTTCTGAAATCGACGAGGTTTTATCGCGTCTTTAAAATTCATCGTTTCTTTATTATCGGTTCGTTAAAATTCCATTTCGTCCGAGCAAATATTTTGCCAGCCCGAATCCCCCATCATCGAATTTTTAATTCACAATTATCCCGGCGATCTCGGCGCTGCGCGAGAGAAACATCGATCGGAGTCGGACCAAGAGAAAGATAGGAATAGTGGCTCTTACCTGATAGTTTGACCGCCTTGCGGCGGTCTCTTCCGGTGGGGGGCCCTCTCTATGGGGGCCCCAAGTAGTTGCACTTTTCGTTCACCAATATCCGGCGCTGTGACAGCTGGAAATGAAAATCACCACCGTTAAACCGGTCGCTGCGTGCACGCGGAACGACGATGATCACGTGACTAAGGTCTCGACGCGCGGAGAAATCGGGAAACCGTGCCCGTTTCGTGTTTCATCGATATTAACGATGCGATTCCGTTGACTTTTAAGTATTCGCGGATGCGACGCTCCATTTCGTTTCCCGGATTTCCGCACACGCGACGCGAGAAACTGGATCGACCAGTGCAAGGATCCCCGGGTGCTTCGTGAGATTTCGACGGGTACGATGAAAAATAATTATTCCAAGTTCGGCCGTTCGGGTAAATCTCCAAGGGGATTGCGACGGTGCATGGCCAGACACGGCTCCAGACGCGAGCAGATTCAACCGGCTTTTTTCCCGCATGAATAACCATTAGGGAAGGAAACTTTGTACGTAATTCGGCTGCTAAATCGTAGATTTATACAGGCTGTTTCAGGATAGTAACCGTAGCGGAATCCTCTGTCATGTTGTCCATGATACTGTATTAACCGTGGAGGCTTCTGCACAAATATTATTTATCTCTGTCAAAGATTTTCAAATATTTCTTCCAACAGGCCGTGTTTTCTTTCCAACGAGATTAATTAATGACGCGACTAAAAAGTCAAGTTACCACGTCTGCTTATTAGCAGTAAATTCTACTTGCTCCAGAGCTCGCCAACAGCCTCAGTTAACTTGGTTAATCGACTTGAAAATCCCATGTTTTTATAAGGTGGACTATTACATGTATTTTCATAAAAAGGATTCTGCACAGCGGCGTTACGCTGAAACACCTCGCCACGGTAACATTTTCCGAAGAATTCAGTCGCGAGAATTAACCGAGAACAGGTCGTCTCTAAAAAAGCTCGGGGTAACTTTCGCCGGTTGGAAGTTTGCAGCAAGGCGCTGCTCGAATCACTTTGCCCGAAGGATTAGCAGTAATCCTCGAATCATCAATTTCCACGGGGAAAGAGCGAGAAGAATCGCCGCGCGGCAAAGGAATCTCCATTCCCCAGTTTTCTGGCTGGCTCGCGCCTTAATCGCCACTAAACCCTGTCGATTCCTTCCCCCTCCTATCCTCGAAACGTATACAGGTCGTTCCAGGCATTATAACCTCACCAGAAAAATTCTAATCCGCGCTAAAGGGTTACTGCCTCCGTTTTATTCCTTATCCACTGGAGAACGATATTATTTTAGTTCGAGAAAAACTATTTTAAGAATCAACGAGTCCGTGATAAATTATTATCCACCGTAACTAGCCAACAATGATCACTGAACACCATAGAAATTGGGCGAGTCAACTTGTTCGAAAAACAAAGCCATCGAACAATCTCTCCCCACTTCCGGCATTCTCGCCAAAAATCCCGCTCCTAGCCGAGGCGTGCGCGATCACTGGGTCGCCCTGTATATTTTTAATCGTTTTTCCGCCGAGCGGCAGCGCTGGCGGGCATCGGCACGGTTTCCCAATTTAAATCGCGTGCCGGATCGATTCCACCTCGCGGAATCTTCGGCGAGGAACGTTCGGAAAAAGCTCAGATCCGGAACACGTTCGACGACAGCGTGGCCGAGGAAACTGCGAGACGGAGAAAGGGGAAGAAGAAAGAGGAGGGGAGAGGCGTCGAGGATGAAAAAGCAGAAAACCTGGGCCGCGCGTGGGGCGACGCGTCGCGCTCGGACGAGCGAGAAAGAGAGAGAGAGAGAGAGAGAGGTCGTGGAAAAACTGTAGCGAGAGAGCGAGGCGGGGTAATTGGACACCGGCCGGCCATATTAGAGCACGGAGAGAGACAGACGGTGATAGCGGGATCGGGGAGGACCGGGCGGCGCGAGGGATCGCGGAGTGGAGGCGCCGGGGAGAAATAGACGGGAAACGGGAGACAGTTGTTGACCGAACCGGAGAGCGGCGAGGAGGAGAAAGAGAGGGGGGAGGAAACCCTGGGGAAACGGAGAAGGAGAGA